CGGACAGCTGTTTCATGAGAAACTGTGACCAGTGGAGTTCATCAGTGTTGAGTGTGGGGAAGCTACCCACCGTAGCTAGTGAAATATGACTGCGTAATATTTTGAATTACTTGAAGTTAAACATGATCACTCATGGATGCCAGCTCAGCGATCAAACGATTATGCGCTTATCAGGTCCTGGACTCGAGCATCTGTGGTAGGGTCATAAATGCACACTAGTGAGGAACCGGATACTATGACGAGACAGTTGTTCAGTTCCTCCTCGATTGCCCAACTTATTTCAGGTTGTGATTTCACCAACCGTCAACGAACTCCACAAACTCACTATATTGGTGTTTGACTCATGTAGATTAGATAGTTGACGCTTAGGAATTTTGGTAAAGTGACATTTTCAAACAGTGCAGCGAACACTTTTATATTTTTCGCATTAACTTACTTTTAATGAGGTTCTTTACTGATACTGCCTTTGCATTCTAATCCTACTTAATTACTTACCTACTCTTGTGTCACATAACATGTTGTTCTCTGACTACCTATTTGAAAAATGATTCGAGTTAATCATTTAGCTGCAAACACGTTAAGACCTCCCTCAAATATTCATTCCTTTAAGTTATTACATTTCATTTTAACACAATGATGAGAAATCAGAGTCAAGAAGGGAAGAAGTCAAAATAATAATGGTGCCAACAATAATTGAAAATGAAACGTTGGAAACATAGTTTAAAAAAGCAGATGAAATCAAGGGTTTAAACTCAAAGTTTAGAAGATGAAGAATATATATTTGACATTGTGATAAATTCTAAGTCACGTCTCTAATAGACTGTGACCATATTTTGTAATTATTTTCTAGTTCTCTGACATAAGTCAGTATCTTCCCAGTGGCCTCACAGACTGATGTCTTTACTCATTAAAGCTTCCCGCTCAATCTTAGTTTTCGTGTTTTAGAAACATGTACAACGGTAACAAAGTTGGATGACAACACAATAAAACTGATGCTTAGACATTTTCAACAGACACTTTATTTTCTTTGCAGTTTTTACGAGAAACGTTTTTCAAGTTTCCGTTTACAGCGTTCAGATTCATCACTTTCATTAGCCACTTAAGAATGTTTTTCCACTCTCAAGTAAATTCTCATCACAATGTCATTCAACACTATTACTTACATAATACATAAATCAGTTAATATTGTCTAAGAATACTAAGCCTAAAGGAAAACGCTAATGAATAGATAGATTGCTGCTATTTGACTAGACAGTTCGTTTATGATATATGAAATTAGTAGCCGTTAAACAAAAGTGCACTTTCACAACAGCTGTGTTCATTATTTATTAAATAAACGTGTACATTAATAAAAAAGAAAGAAAATGTATATTATCTCATACTTTCCACAATCAGTACTCTCTAAAAGTGTGAATTTATCTGTTTTTATCTGTTGATATGTGATATTTATATTTGTACAATAAATAACAACTGTTCATTTATAGTTTTGTTCCAGTTTAGTTTTTGGATATTTCATATAATGAATTGTATTGCGTAGTAATAATGATAATCATATAATTATTTATGCACACGGAACAATGTACACCAGTTTGTTTTTAAAGAAGAAAAACACATCTTTATTACAAGCCTATCCAAGTAGTCGTTGTATTTAAACACAAAAAAGAGACTAAATCAGCTGGGGTATTAAAACCATCTGTTATGTTCAAAAAATGATGATATTGCGATTAGGATGATGAATTTAATAGTATAGACTAAGTTGTGTCTTTATACTGACTGTATTAATAAAAAGTAAAAGTTAACCCACTAAACATTCGTCTGACACCCCGAGAATGTGATAAAATGAGAGTTCTGCTCTATTTAACTCAACCATTTATTTTGAAGGCAAGCCATGGGAAGCGTAATATCACATCAAATATAATTATTATTTGATGACTATTTTTATACTCGTAGTTTGAAAAAGTCATTGATAGCATCTCCCGAAAAAAGAGACAACAAAATAAACCCATATTCAGTAGTTTAAATAACCAGTTACTTATGATTCCTTTGAAAGCAAGAGTGAGAGACGTGTCCGTCCGACTATGATTGACTTCGAGTTGTTATTTACATTCTCAAATTACCAGTTCATGATGCTTTTAAAAAGTTCATTTGAAGGTTTGAACCTTCTTACAGAATTCAGGACTAATCGTCAATAATTTCATGAATTATTGAAACAATTTGATTAAAACATCCCTGATCTTTTTGATACAGTTGGCTATATACAAAGCCTATCCATACAGTTTAGTTCTTGTTTCTTGTATTTAAGAGCTAAGATGGTGGTTGGATGTCGTCAACAGGAAGCCCTCGACCTAGGTTTCGTGCTATTTGGCACTCGTCAGCAAGTGGTACCTGTAATCTTAAGGGAACTGATGCTCCCTAACGGATTCGATCCCGTGTCACCCAGACTCACAGTCAGAGAAGTTACCACTAAGCCATCCGGACCGCGACTGACCTCCTGTAGAACTGAGATGGATTTATGATTGAACGATCACTGGGTGGTGACCAATGTCATGTATGTCAGGTCCTTCTTAGTGCAGATCTAATCCTATCGACTAAGTTGCAATGTGGCCACCAGTTTAGGTGACTCGACATTGTACTTAAGAGCACTTCATGGCACATCTTGTCGTTCTTAATAACATTTATTAGCTTTTTTGTGGAATGATTCTCATAATCAAAAAACGTTTCAGACAGCTTGCAAAACATCAGCACGACAAACATAGTATTCTACTGATGTCTCATGAACCTGTATAAAACTTTTGGACAAATCTACTACGATTATTTATAAGGCGACTCAATATCGTTGTAAATTGACACAGATATCTTAGAAATATTACTAGCACCCTCTGGGATCACCGGGTAAGTAATAGTGAGGTTAGACGTAGGGTATTAGGGAATGACGGTTAATCAGTTGACGATGTTGTGAATCTTCATCGACTTAGATTGTTGGGCCACGTTTTACACATGCCTGACCGCCGATTACCACGACGCGCAATTCTGATTAGTTTTGGGGATGGTTAGAAGAAAGTTAAGGGCGGCCAAGCCAAAAACGTGACACCATTCCTTGGAGTCACTAACTTCTATTCTTAGCCACGTTGATAGATGCCGACTACTTAGGGTCTGCGCGACCATCACAACCAGTGATTGGAGACTCTGGTTGACATGCCACTGAATGGACCACAATGGTATAGGTGTATACAGTCTTTGTTTTTGCCTAAACCACTGGATGAAAACTAAATTATACCCTTCCTTCTACGAACTAAATTGTTCTTTCTGTATTATATCTTTGTATGCAATCTCTGTTTTATATGTTACTACCATTGAAGTAACTACTTCTATGAATTTAGTGTTCATCTTATTGGGCTAATAATGTGTATCAATTTGGAGTGATGCCTATATGTGCCTGGTTGTACGTTGTGACTGACTGAAATTTGCTCCGTTATTAGACTACATTTTTAACTAAATATTTATACGGAATAATCCCTCAGTTCATTTAGTTGAGTGATAAATCATGTAGTAAAGCTCTGTCTTTGACATTACTTTCACGTAAAATGCAGACAAGCAAAAGTTCTTGGTCACAATCAAGTTACCTTGAATGTGGAAAACACCTTATTTTTTAAATAACGTTTGGATTGTTTTCATTACTAACAATAAAACCGATACATAGATTAATGTAAGCCTACAAGTACCAAAATCTTGTAAATAATATCAGTCACGGAACATTTTTATTCGGGCCGATTGGAAATGGAATAACTTGTTAGAACGAAAAAAATATTTTATTTTATGACCGACTTTGATTAAAAACACTTATTTTGCATGGAAACGAATCGCGAAATATTATAAGTAAATTAGAAGTATTCAAATGTATTGGCATATTCATAAACACTTAGTGTTATCTAAGTACTCAAATTGCAAAACAATCATTATAGTATTTGCTTTGCGGTTAAACGACATTATTAGCACGAATTCATGCAAAGTATATGCAAGAATAAAAATAAAAAGCTCTCTGATCATATTTTATGATAGGACTTGTTTACTAAATTGATGTATTAAGCAATAAGATTCATTCGATAGTCTTTAAAATACGTTTTACACACAGTAAAGGACAGTAACTTTTTAAAGAATATGGTCAGACATGAACAGATACAATGATCTTTCAGCCATACTTTTATTTGGAGAAGTAAGATAGGATGCTACTTTTTGTACTAATCGTAGTCACTTTAGTAATTACAGACTTATCAGAACTTTCTGTAAACTTTGAAGTCGAACGTACTGTAAGGTCAAGAGAGGTAATTTTAGCTTATAGTATGTTCGGTCTAACAAAACTTACTAAAACTTTACTTAAAGACCGATAGTGATACGGATTTGCTAAACAACAGTCCCATGCTGAATACTTTGGTTCAAATATCCATAGTCAGTAATAGGACACATTTTTAGGAATAGGGTTTATAGCTTTAAAAAAATCGTAAGATCTCTTAAAATGTGTGATCTTTCGTCAGAACAAATAAAACTTTGATTACTTAACAATGGTTTTTTCACACTACAGATTACATTAACTGTTTCCACCGTATTACTACGTGATCTAAGAATTAAGCTTACTGATTACAATGAACAAACGTTCTACCGACGGATAGATATCTAATTTGGCAGCACAAAGACTTAAGAAAATAAACCCATACACTGATCAAAATACTGATTCTTTGAAAGGATTTACAGACAAGGTTTCGATGTAGCTTAACATTAGAAAATTAATAACTGATTTTAAATTAAAAAAGAATCCATTAAGATCAAACCTTTACCCCGGGCGAAAAGGTAATACTATTAAAAAACCAATCCAAACTTTAACTTTTACTCAAAATAATCTAGAGATATTCGTGATGACTTATTACGCCAAATAAATGACAAATTTCGCACTTACGGCGAGAAAAAAGAAAATTGGCATAGTACTAAATCGAGAGAAAACTTACATGAAGCAAAGAGGAAGTGGATTTCTGGAACCTTAAAAGAGCCATTTCAGCTAGCTCTCGAATCAGAATGCTTCCGTTTCCACATGGGACAACAACTTTAACATCATCAAAGCACACAGTTACTTTCATTATTACCGATAACTCGAACTCTTAAAATTTGTTGTTCACATTTATCAAGAATAATGTACACCTTCGTGATTTTAAGGTTTGAACTTCCGAAGGAATAAACTTTACATATGTCTTTATGCAAGAAATGGACAATTCATATTGAAATTGTGTATCTGTCTTCAATAAAGAAGCATCTGGTCTATTTATTTCATCAGAGAAAAACAAAGTTAAATAATAATTGTGTTTACTTCCAGTGTTTTATGTACTAAAAGTCAGTGATAATTGTATTTGTCCCTCGAATAATCTAGCAAATGAAAACACATCTATAGGCAACGGTAATAAGTAACGGCCTAACGAGTTCAACGATGAAAATTGCTATTGATCCATTTAAAGTATCTAACGCAAAGCCAGGGACTTAAAGCATTTATCAATAAAGACCATCTGGTTTTTAGATTGAATTTCAAATATAAAGATAATGTGGCTTCAAAGTATCATGAAAATGTTATGACTGGAATAAGTCCCACATGCCATCAGCAACAGAATACTGTGGAAGAGAACAAATCATCTTCCAGCAGAAAACTTAATTAGGAGTAGATGCTGGGCGTGGATGGGATATGCATCGAGGAAAACATCAAACCGCTTCACGAGACAAACCCTAATTTGGAATCCTGAAGGGAAACTGAAAGGAAAAAACAATAAACACCGCGTCGGGAATTGGAAGACGTGGAAAGAATGAATAACAACTGGAAACAACGGGGAAGGATTGTCCGCTACAGCACTCGATGGAGAACAATGGTGAATGGCCAACTCTGCTCCACGATGAGTAGCAGGAGTAAGTACGTAAGAGATATGTAACGTCACATTAAGATAGTAGGTGTGCTTATATCATTTAAGCTTATTTTGATTTATTTTTACCTAAACATAAAGCTTATACCCTTTCACTCTTAAAAGCGATGAAAACCTGAATGTGAAGACAAACATACATTTGTCTAGATTCTATTGTCCTATATTAACACAGAGGAGCTGAAAGTAATAAAATGAAAATTTTACTTAAGCTTCAGTTATGAAAATTTCCTCATGTTGTGTCTTCTGCTGTAAATGGTTGAACTGAGGACTATTTTTTACGGACAACATAAACGGAGATATATAGGACACACAGTCGAGTAAACATTCAAGAGTAGAACTTGATTTATGATTTAGAGGATCATACATGATGGATGTATCTGGGTCATTATCTAGCATTTCGAATTAGGTTTTGATAGATCTCAGTGCTTTTTCTAATGTAAATAGGACATCGCTCCATGGTTCATCAGGATATACAACATCTCCATGGTTGAAGAAATGACTAGTTTTTTCTACCATGAATCCATCGTTAATATCTTATTGTCCTTTCTGTACGACCACTGAGACTCTAAAGGGTATCTTTACAGGAAGAACTGAAAGTATTTGACCGATTAATAGCTGTTACTTCGAATACCAATAATTTCACCGTGTTTTTGATACATTTGTTTTATCCAACCTTCGAAATAGTTTGTTTATAACTTGACCCCGTACATTATCAGTTTCACACTGTTTTTGATTAGGACATAGCATAAAATATATCTCCGTAGATTTTTACGTGTTATCGTGGTATTGGTTGGAGTTGTTAAGAATAGGCGTTGAGGTTAATAATCGCGTGTAAACATTTATTTCTATAGCATAAAGGGTTACTTAAACGTTTTCTACGGTAAATTACTGCACTGAAAGACAGAGTGACAGTACTATCGTGAAGAGTATATGTTGATGAACATCAGACAGAATACTGCCTACGGAAGTTTTTTTCACAACATTTTAGCGTTGAAATGCATCACTGTCGGCAACATTATTTTATGTTAAAAGGCTATTTGAAGCTTTTATAATACACACAGTAACTACAAAATTAACAGACGATACACTGTTGTTCACGAAGATAATTGGGTTTTTCCTCGCAACCGTAGTTTCTACGCTGGAAACTGGTATCAAACCAGTCAAACCTACAGTTCTCTGCCAAAACTTACGGCCAAAATTGTTAGAGCTGCAGCATTATTATTGGCCTACATATACAAGCCATACTCCAGAAGCTAAATTATAAGAACAAAAATTCCGTCATCACTTCATAAGTTACGACAGTTGTTTATGAAATTTAAGGTGGCGAAATTGCCAGGGATCATTTGTTGGACATTCTGTGTTCACAGCTCAAAGGCACAATTTGTCCAGAAAACGAAATTACACAGGTGATGGATGTGGTGATCCAGGTTTTCTCATACGATACAAGAGATGAAGTAAATAAGCGTGCATGGGAATCCCAAGAAAAAGTGAGCTAAATTAAATTCAAGTGTATTATTGAATATCTGTGCACGTCTTTATTATGCTTTGTAAAACGTTTGCCCTTAAATTACCATTTACTGTATATTTTCTTTTCATATTGCTCCATAAGTGTTTGCCGACTTAACAGTAAGTTTTAATTGAGTAAACATTTCTACACTGCCTTTGTACACTATTCCCATTTCACATAGCACCATAGACTCTGGCAGCGTAAACTCACAGGCTTAATTGTGGCTACAAAATTAGACATTCTTTTGCCTACTATTAACATGGGAAAATTTTTAATATTTCGTTTACTACATACAATACTAACGTTGTAGAACACAACCAACGAATGTTTGACATCTACATGATGAACATACCAACAACCCAGCCACATTTGAAAGAAATATGAAGACGTAAACGCTTTCTTAAAAATGATTTTATTTTTCTAATATTTTTACATACAATCTCATTTGTAACAGATCAGTCTTTTGGCTATGGCGATGCCTATGTATGGCTTTTATCCTTGCAAGTGTTGACACTATAGTAATATGTAGATAACATGAATAAGCTGTGTTCCGTTTTCACATTATATTGTCGTTTACTTAGTCCCACGTGGAACGCTTATACGTGTAGACATTCACTTCAAAGAAGAGTGCACTATTTTTGAGATGAAGTTCTGTCATATTCGTTATCTTGGTACTGGATGACTGAGGCTAAATTAATTGAGTAGGAACTAGAATTCCAGTGTTCGTGAATGTATGTGTAAGTACTCGAACTGACCAGCATATACTGCAGTAATAGACAGTCAATGTGTAATATCATTGAGTAAACACAAATGATCTAAGATAATAGTAGCGTAGGTCTCTTTTAAACTTTATTGGAATGACACGGACATTTAGAATCACCAGAAATTGTACTTCAATGGAAACAAAAGGTTGGATCATAGTAGCGCACTTGACATATCCATTTTACATAATGAAAAAAACATTATATGCGAAAATGAGCATACAATCACGTGCATTTAGTATAAATGAATTGAACATTGTAGTTCCCTTAATATCAACGTTTACATCTTAGCATATTTTTACTGTATGGTGCGTTAAATCATATTTTATATGAAAGAATTCTGCGGTTCCTTGCTTCAAGTTATCTTCTCCGCAAAGTACAGAATGACAATCCAACTGTATATGTTACAAGTGCTTAACAGACGTTAACAACAATCGTTATGTCCCGTAGTCCGCAAATTATCACTCGACAAAATCGTCAAATTAAACACCAACTTATTCGAACTTAGCGTTATGTCAAATCAACGACGAGAAGCCTGGGTTCAACAATGAGTCTCTATTGGTTCTTGCGTTTCCCTACCCATTGATTCTAGAACACGATTTCAGCTTCCATTGTATGAATCATGCATTTCAGACATACTTATGGTCAAACCAGGACGCATCACACCATAAAATAAAGAGCAACAGTTATACAATATCGGTCCATAACTGCCTGTGAGTACGAGAGACTGCAACTAATAGACCGAGAATAACTCGAGGATGGTAAGTCGTACAACAGTATTCAGTAGGTCAAATAAAGGTTTATAATAAAAGAAATATGAATATGTATAATTTGGTTACTTAGTGTGCGGGACTGCTGTACTTATTCACATTAGTTCATTAACGATACCCATGACCAATAGAACCTGCCCACTTGTAAGGTGCAAACCAAGTAGGTTCCTAAGTAACTTGAGGAAATATATCCTCACTATAACATGGATACTTACATTAAGCCAAAGGAATGGTTAATCTTTAAGACTCCGATTATGTTACTAACCCTGGAGAACCTTAATCAAGTTGCAGGTGAGTAAACACATGATAACCGGACAGAGCACGGGAACATTTCGCCTCAACAACTTGTGGCTGGGTGGGCCGTTCACATCATTTCCTCAGGCATCTTAGTTTACTTTTCTTACCCTCCACTCTCTCACAAGCCGCAATCCTCATACAGAGGACACGTTCAGCAAGTTAGGATGAATGTTGCAAGATAATATAACAAGCTAGTTAGGTATATGACATCCGCAGACTATTGACGAATACTGACAGAGCGTTAGTCATCAATGATTGAAAGTCAAACATCGAACGAGTTTTTATTTCTCCCTTGGGCTGTGGAAACTAAACTGGATCGTTTTTGTGAGGTCAGTTGATCGAACCAACATTCATATAGAAGTCCATTCTAGGAGGAAGCTAATGTAACAAATTAGGGCAACTGATTAAGAGTTGACCGAAAACATCTAAGGAAATACCACAACACTAAAACCCAAGTACTCATTTTCTTCCTTATTTTAAAAAGGGATTATACTTACCATTATTTTATGCCGAAAAGTTTTGTGTGTTTGCAAAAGTAACCTCGCGCTCCGCTGTGTACAGTCACACTATCCAAATGAAAACCTACTTACTACCAGTCCGGTTTCTTCTATGAATAGAACGAGGGACACACACTCACACAAAAATACCACCGAAAACATGTGTTGAACACATGACCGCATGGTGCCATCACTATTACCGCCTGAATTTGCCTGTGGTCACTACAGAAACGCATAGAGTGATATTTTAAAGTTTTCTTTCTAGAATAATTGCTCTGGAATTTAATTTCATTCATTCTCGACCACCAGTTGCTTGTCGCAGTGCCAACCCCCGTGAAGCGCTCCAACTCCCATACTGAACATAAGAATCTTACTAATGTTACTATTCTAGTGTATGAAAATCGCCCCCCTATTTATGTGACCAATGTGTTTTATAAGACATCGACCTAATTGTATGACTTGTCACAGTAAAACCTGTAGCATTTGTAACAATCCGTCCTTGTCTGTAAACTAGCATGCCTCGTGTGACACATCTTTATCTGAGAATATATATTATTACCACTTATTTTTTCTTCATTACAGATATATGACCTCCGTAAGCTGGTATTTTTACGGTCCCTCTCCATAATTAATAAAAATTTTCATCACATCATTTTAAAAAATTGCAATTTTTAATTTATTGTGTTGAGTGGTGAA